ACTATTTACGAATTGCGAATAAACTTTGGTACCTAAATTGGGGTTTAGTTCTACTGTTATTTTGGGTTCGTAAATTGCAAATAGATCGGTATATTGTACTTCAGTAACGGACACGAGCAAAAATATGAACATAACGAAGGGTTCGAAGCATCCAAAGTCATCCGCTACTCCGTGTAACGTTCATCAACACTGCTTATGTGAGGGGTGTTGCTGGCTAGTCACTTACTAAAATGGGGGATGCGAGCATACTGCATGGTATACCATATTCTGAGCGCAATCTCATCAGGAATACTCCTCAAGTGTCCCATGAGTCGTTCTTTCACGGGCAAAATATCACTGTTCTACGTGTTCTAGAAAACACGGACCTTAATTATGCAGACTGTAACATTCTGAAGCGGAAATTTGTAAGACAGTCCTTGAAGCTCAAGTACGTATTGACCCAATAAGCATTGTGATTGGTTAGCAGGGATGGGGATTCTAGATCTTGGCTAGTTAGGATTAGCTCCCCATCCTCTCAAACGGCGGCTGCCACTCTCGAAACAATTAGTGTCAACCAGTGTCAGTTACTAACAAGAATCCAAACGCATCCGGACAGACCATACGATACAGAGACCAAGCACAAAAGTGAACTGGAACTAAGTATTCCATTTGTGGACTGTCATGATCGAAGAAAAAATGTAGTAGATACAAGGGTTGCCTGTCCATTGACACAAAGCTCATTTAGACGAACGGGACAAGGGAGCTCACGTGTTTAATATCAAAAGTATAAACTGCCCTTATATGAACGACACGAGTTTACGGAACAAAATGGGTGAATTACGTGAGCTAAGTGCCGCTAATAATGCTCATCTGATAGGAATATTTGAAACATTGTTATCTCAAATTACGGACCAGGGGCTTGCAATACTCGGCATTTCTTTTTTTGAAAATACGGAAAAACAGGGATATGGGATGGAACAATACTGTTTCTACGATTTGGCTTCGTAACACACCATGTATGTGTAACAGCTTAGGTTGACTGGTTAAGAGTTGATCTCAAACAACTAAGCAAATATCAAAACAGTAAAGTTCGAGCATTCATTCGCTTCCTTATTTTGTACAAGCGTTATATTTCCCATGATGTTATATAGAATGTTGAAAGGCTTTGTTTGTCTGAACAGGTAATCCCACGCTCCGCTGTGACTGCGCAAAGATATAAATAAAATCCTATTCATCACTAGTCTGGTTTCTTCTGTCAATAGCACAAGGGTTACTTACGGGCGCGAAATATACTCCGAAAGGTTTGTTAATCTTAACAAATCTGTACGACGCCCAGTGACATTTTTACATCTTGAGATGTTCATTCGGAGTCATCTACAAAACGCTTACCCCAAAGACGAAAATCGTATGCTGGAGGAGCATTCCTCTCTATTCGTGTCGGATACACTCTTATCCTGATTCTAGGAAACTTCAATCTTTCTAAAGTCTACCCTGTTGAATACACATACACAAGAGGTAGCAACTCTAATAGAGCTCGGTTCTTCAACATCATTGGAAATTTGGGATTAGTCAAAAATGTCAGGTCAGAATATGAAGTCGTAGGAGAAATAGTCGGACGTCGTCATGCTAAGCGTGCATATAAACAAATGTAGAATTTCTAAGTGATAACATATCAATCCTAGCTCCCCTGGGCAAGAGCGATCATGCCGTCATAGCCCTTAATTTTATCAGCAAAACTGAGCTGAAACCTCCTGCTGACAACAGACGTTGGAATTTAAAACCGTTGGACATTTCAGTTTTACAGGTAAATCTAGACCAGATGGACTGGTAAGCCCACTCTAAAGTTTATATTGACGCTCATTGAAGTTTCCTATGTGCTGCAAAACAGTGTTTTACAAGCGCTCCTCGGAAATTTCAAACAACGTGCAGTCATAAAAAATCGCACTCATTGAATGCTAAGACGCAAAACCCACTACTGGGCTGTGTATAAACGCTCCAGTGACAACATTGAGCATAAACTGTACAAACAAGCAAAGAATCAGTGCACAATGGCAATCATAAACGGTATGGTCTAGTATCTGATGAAGCTAACCGATAAATTCGTCTTCAATTACAAAAGTTTTTTCCTTCATACAGACTCTCATCAACAATCCCAAACCAGATTTTCTCAGTCTTTAGGCACAAATGGCTTGACGACAGTGACATTCTTGACACTCTGACAGAACAGTATTTAAAAACATTTCAACAGTCTCCAATTGACGAGAGCTTCACCTGCGACTCTGCAGAACTCTTAATAGTGAACCTGGGTGCTGACTCGGTATATCAGAAACTGCAGCATCTAAACAAGGACACTTCTGATCCGGATATGGTTCATTCGATCATACTTAGGGGAGCGACTTTAACTTTGGCAAAGCCGCTTAACGTGATGTTCTCATATTCACATAGCTAAAGAACGGGGCCGGGATATTGGAAGTTGGCGCACATCAAACAAATATTCAAGGGAGGTCGACGCACGTGCCTTCAAGTTACAGGCCGATAGCACTCCTCTCAATGCCGTCAAAAACCGTGGAGTTCTTGATATTCGGTGGTCTACGTGACTACGTATTACACATAAACCTCTTTTTACACAAAAACAACGAACCCGGCAAGGGTTTATCATTTATAACCAACCTGCTGACTGCGATGGACAGATGAGCATCCATAGTTAATCTGAAAGGGAAGGTTGATATTTACTACTTTTACTTCTCAAAAGCTTTTGATAGGGTCGACGTGTCGCATCAGTAAGCTCAGACCTTTAGATGTCAATTTACCGTAAATTGAATGACGCATATGTCATGCAATTAATCAACTTTTCAAGATCGAGGTAAACTTTACTTTTTCCCAGGCCATTCAATGTCCTAGTAAGTTTCTTCAGTATTCAGTACTGAGACCTCTTTTCCGAATTTTTATAGATGGCCTTCCATCGGAAACATACTTCAGATTATGCATATAACTTAGATAGCTTCTCTCTGAAAGTTGAAAGTGATCTAGGGGTGTTAGTACATCATGACCTAAAGTCTAGCCCTAACTGTGGCGGAAATCCGTTTCGAGCAAACTTTGCACAGGTAACGATGTAAAGCAGTTTTGGCCAGCTCGACGGTAGAACTTCTCATTTAATCTTCAACGGTTTTATTCAACCTCATTTAGCGCATGTGAATATAGTGTCTCGTTTCTCACTTCGAAACGATAAAAATACATTGAAATTTGTCCGAAGGCAAGCCACGAAATAAGTTCGGAGACTCAGATTCAGACTTCATGAAGAGCCTCTCAAGTCACTGAATCTTTACCCATTGGAGTATGGGCGACTCGGAGGTGACCAGATGGCTTGTAGCATCCTAAGCACTCCTTGGCTTCTTATATACCAACTTAAGTTCAGTCCCAAAAATATCTTATCGGTGACACCCAGAAATCAGATACACGACGTTGAAGAACGGGTTGGAGGCACACTATTTACTCTCTAAGAGTAGTCTACTTCAGTATTCGCTGCAATATGATGTTGTCTAAGCGAGTCCTCAGGAATCTATTAATAAAAATAATGACACATTCTTCACGACTCAGATAGTATATCACCATGATTTGCCAATATTTCTCCTTTTATGGTAAAAAACCTGGGTTCCTACCTTGAGGAATCGGCGATCTACTGTTACTAGATAAGGAATCTCGATAAGAGTAATCTTTATCCTCCTTGGTTGTTAAAATTGTAGTGGCACTCGTGTATCTGACTTTGTTTAATTGCATCGTAACGTCCGGCTAATCACTTTATTGGTCTGATATCTGACTCGAGTAAGATCGCATGGCGGTTGTTATTAAAATATTCATGCCAGCTACCCTCGTATATAATTATCTGCTCAGATCGCCTTAGTGAATAAAGGGATTTCGTAAGTCAGATACGAGAACGGATTTCGAATACGTATGTTTTACACAATCGTTGATCTGGACAGACAGTTGAAGAGAAGAGGAGAAGGAAGCGAAGCAAAACGAGACCAAGTGACGCACAGCAAAGATGACGATTTGGACAGCTCGTTTTAATCTAGCGTGGCTCGATATTTATAGTCAAACAAACACAAGTTACAGACACAATGAATGGAATAATCAACTAACACATATAAGACCACATAAAAACAGTCAGAGTTAATAAGCATATAAGTGTCAAGGTAAAAATATGGCTTGATAAAAAGAATGAATAATTTGATTTGTCCAGAGGCCGGAATAATCTATGTGGGTTTGACATAGTACCTGCTCCGATAAGCTTAAATGATCTGTGAAATGACATGCAGAAATCAGAGGGCTAACAGAGTAATTGTTTTGACCCATGTCTTCTGCTCTATGTTATTGGTTTTATTCAGTTGGTGCCTACTTTTCCTTAGACACAATCAAGATCAGCATAATTACCAATTCAAGGGGATTATAACAATGCTTTAATTATTAGCAGGTTAACTTCAAACTTGAAACTGTATGTAGGTTAGTTCTCTAATTGAACTGCCCCCAGAAGCTCGAACAGCGTTTTCGGTTCCCTCATAACACATAACAGATATGTTAAGCTTCATCCATTTATAGTCATGGATAAAGACGGTAACCATGAAAGCACAAGACAAATCATGTTGAATATCTACATGTTAATGTCCAACTCATGAGTTAAAAACTGATAAAATACTGCATATGTCTAACCATTACAGTGTAAAAATATAAAAATCAAAATGTTAGCCAAAGTTGAGCCCCGTTCTGGAGATACAAACGCTTAAAGCCTTAAAATGTCTAGGCTTGCGAAGATTTCTTTCACCCATCAAAATAATTTGTTTAATGAAACATATATAAACCTCAGCCAGTTAATACTTAAGAAAGGCATAAAAATTTCCACAGAAGTACGGAACCAAATAAGTAGAATACGCAACATATCTATTATTTTTGTTTCTAAAGTGTGAAGACTACAATATGTGTCAATTGTTTAACTGCTCCTCTTGAGTCTAGAAAGTTCCGCCCGCAGTTAGTGAGAGCGGATTTTGACAGGAATGGTGAAGGAGAGGAAATATTATGATCTTCTTGGCGTCCCTGTGACCGCAACTGAGGCGGAAATAAAAAAGGCCTACCGCCAGAAAGCCCTTAAATATCATCCGGACAAAAATCCGGATAGCGCAGATAAGGTATGTTAGCCAGTGTTACTTTGACAGACAAAGTTCAAAGAAATTTCTCAAGCATTTATGGTTCTGAGCGATCCTGAAAAAAGAGAATTATATGATGCAAGAGGCGAGCAAGGAATTAAGGAGGGTGGCGTTGATTCAGGTGGAATGGCTGATCCAATGGATATTTTCCAAATGTTCTTCGGGGGTGGTCGGTCTCGCGGACCCCGTCGAGGAAAGGACTGTGTGCACCAGTTGTCAGTGACCTTAGAAGAGCTATACAATGGCAGTGTTAGGAAACTTGGTGTTACGCGGAAAGTTATATGTGATCAGTGCCAAGGTAAGTTCGCGTACTCGAACTGGCTATTTCTAGGTCGTGGTGGCAAGGCGGGCGCCGTTGTAACTTGCCGCACATGTCGAGGAACAGGCATTCAGACTCACGTTCGCCAGTTAAACGTCGGATTCGTTCAGCAGATACAGACTACCTGCAGTGCATGCAAGGGCGAAAAAGAAATTATTGATCCAAAGGATTGTTGCAAGAAGTGTGAAGGCAGAAAAGTTGTCCGCGAAACCAAGGTGATTGAAGTCCCAATAGACAAAGGCATGACTGATGGTCAAACAATCAAATTTCATGACGAAGGTGATCGCGAACCGGGCTTGGAACCCGGCGACCTTATTATTACTCTTGATGAGCAGCCACATAGCCGTTTCATCAGGCGTCGAAACGACTTGATACACACTATAGAATTATCACTCTCTGAAGCCTTGTGTGGCTTCCAGCGAACAATACGATCATTAGATGATCGGACACTAGTGATAACTTCCAGACCTGGTAAGCTCGCGTTTTTGGTCTTATGGATTCTTTATTAGGTGAGGTGTATACTAATAAGGATTTCCGTGCGATTGAAGGAGAAGGAATGCCAAGATACAAAAACCCGTTCGATAAAGGCCGGTTGATTATCAAGTTTGACATATCATTTCCGAAGAATGGCTTTCTTTCAAAAACTCAACTGGATTCGTTGCGAAAGTTACTTCCTCCACCTACTTGTATTGAAGATATTCCCGAAGATGCAGAATCGGTTGAGCTGCATCCGTTCGATCCTGAGTTTGATCACCAGCAACAGGAGCGCCGTGGCGAGGTATACGAAGATGCAGATGGTTCTGAAAGTTCCAATCCGCGAGTTCAGTGTGCATCCGCTTAATGTGATTGTGATTAATTTATATCCCTGGTTTGGATCGCGGATGTGCATTTTGGTTTGTCTATATGATATACACATCTAATATGGACCATTCGATGTGTTTACTTAACCTTAACAACAGTCATTTTCGTTATCACACATCCATATATTTCGAATTAAACTTGTCTACGGAACAATCGTTACACTATCTGACTTCTGTTCACTTTTGAGATAATTTGCAGCTAAGTTGGCCGTCATAATTCATTGTCTAGTTCTCGCCATTGGAGGGCATATACTGTTGCTGAGCTAGATCAACAACCAGTAAATTTAACTGCGACGGTTCAGGAAAACGTAATCTTAACAACTCGACCTTAAAATGGTTGACTGTAAGGTAGCTGCGAATGTGGCTGTAGCTGTGACCGGCACTTAACAACCGTAGGTGGTTCCTGGCACTTTTTGAGGACTATATTTGAGCAAATCCTGTATCCATCCTCTCATTCGATTGTCAATTACATGCTGCGGTAATTTTTAGGCAAACGACAGTGACGAAGATGTCTATTTTGCTTGGTGTTTCTTCTCATAAATTTCCCTAACAGCCTGTAAGTCATCTCATTATTATTCCTGGTGTATTCTATTGACCTTCCTTGCTCTGATATCCGCATTCGTCGAGTAAGTCTTCGTGTTAGGACTCTGTCGTTAGTGAAGTGGCGTATAGCTTGGTCGGAAGGCAAGTTTGTCTACTATTAATTAGGTATAAAACAGAGTTAATTACATTGGAAACTGATGTGCTAACGACTTTGACTACCGGGGGTCGTCAGGTGTTTCAAATCGACTCCAAACTACGAGGCTACAGATATTTGGGATTTCCAGCACCTAACTGAAAGGTGGAAGTTGGGCACTAGTCAGCGCGATTTTATCCTCGTGGGCGTTTTTCCGTTTTTAGGCTATTAATACATAGTTGGTACCTTTAGAGTGCTGCATGCGGTGAGACCATCAGACAGGCGGCGTTGTGTTTTGGCTGGGGTTGCGCAAATTTCAGTATACAGGGGGAACCAAATGTGTGTGCGCCACATTTCATCGCCCAACTTGTGTAAGGGCTGGGACACCTTAGTTTAAACTGGCCGTAACTTACTGAATGTATTGGGCGTTTAGTATCCCTATTCATATGGATAATTAATATAACAAAGTTTGTGCATACAACCCAATAGCTCTAGACACTACCTTGTAATGTGTTAATCATTTGTTTTAAACCTTTAATAGTCGAAAATTTTCCTAAATCTAACTGTATATAGCTTGAAACTAATCGGAAAACATAGTAAGGAACTTGGTACTGTATCGGAAACAACTTTTTCATTCTATAAGTTCGATGAGACATTTATCAGCTAGCGAAATATACAACTCGATCGTGAAACAAAACAAAAGAGTATCACGCCCAGTCTTATTGGACTAACAAAAAAGTGCAGATTGACTTCAATGGCACCGAACTGCTTTTCATATATCTTAGTAAGTCTACAGATGAGAAAATTGGGTTTGAAACTAGGGGGTTTGTTAATGCGCTGTCGACCTAGTAATTATTTCGTCAGGATAATTGTTAAGGAAATTACGGGTTGTGCAGATGATAAGTACATATTGGTATGGTGAAGTTATGAGATTCCATAATTTTAAATAGTTTGAATAGACGATAAATATAAAATACAATTATATCTAAACACCGGTAATAAATGGGAAGGTCCATATTTCACTAATTTAAGCGTTTTTATGACCTTTTCAAAAGGGTTTTTGTGTGAATGGACAGGGCTTTTCGTACGTTCCAACATCAGCTTTCAGTGTTGTCTGCTGGACCTGTGGATGCCCAGAAACTCACCGCACCAGCCTCCAAACGCGACTGCATCTGATTAAAGTCAGCGACAGTCATGGGCAGTGGAAGCAAAGGAAGTTGCAGTAGGTAATGGGCGACATCTTAGAATAATCGCAGAACCAAGTGTTTAAGAGTCTAGTGTTAGCGAGACCTGTTCCGAAAAGAATCGAACAGTGACCCACTACGCTCAGAAGATTGGGCCATGGGTGAGGCTATTTGAGGGGTGGTCTTATTCGTCTTATCTAATATCTAGTTGCTTACTGTTATCTTAAACAAGTTGTAAAGGCTATAGGTAGTGCTGGAGGGTAGCAAGCCCTATAAGGTTAACCTCAGCGATCCTTAGCGGTCATTTGAACGTAAAACGCCTTCAGGAGGTAAGTATATATCTTGTTTTGTAGGACTCAGGAAGCTTATATATGATCTGAACGTTCCAACCTCTCAGTCCATTTATGGTACCTCCGAGATACTTCTGAATATGTTCTGCAAGCTGTGTCCTATCGAAAGGTAACGGTCAAACTATCAATTACTTTCATTGAACGATTTTCCGAAAAATAGTTGTTGGAAAGTTTGCACGTGATATACTTTTTTTACAACGGTAAAATTATAAGAACAATTTTTAAATTGCTCTACTGAGCTATACCAGTCTTTTTAGGTTTTAAACCAACTTCAATGTTATGCTTTACACCGAGAGATACGTATACCGTCTTTTTGATGCCCAAAGACTAGCTAGGTTTTCTCTTTGTGCTTGGGGATACCCTTCCTTACTTTTGTTTAATCATCTCGAAATAAAAGTTACGGGTTTCCTGTTCTGTTACGTCTATTCCCAGTAAAGCAACATCTGTATTTAAAGTTCTAATGATCAGTACACTATTCAGTTGGTGAAAGCGATTTGAAAAAGCCTCAATAAATTACAAAATATTCCATAATGTATTCGTTCTTCCTGTACAAATTAATAATTAGTTATAATCGCTGCGTAAAGTTAGGAATAAAATAGAAGGGTATTAATCCTTCATCTGAGAACTAAAGTATTCAGTAAGGGTGTTTGTATTAGTGAGGCTGAGCTATTCATGTCAGTTTTAAAAACTTTTGACATCTATAGTATAGGATAGAAAATTGATAAGATCGAGTTGGAAGTGACATTTGAATGGCTTTACTGCAAGATTTGTATCATAAAAGCGTCTAAGTAGCTTCAAAAGACTAGTTATACAATTCAATATTTACTGTAAGGACTATGATATCATTCTAATACAATTCAGTACCTTGAAGGCCAGAGATGGTCTAATTCACTCTGCAAAACAATCAACAGTGGGATTGAATTCAATTGCGCTTATGATAAACTCGGACCATGTGGGTCAAAACAGAGAAGGGATTTCTTTATTTGAAAATATAAACATTTAATCAGAGTGAAGTACTTGTAGTAGTAAGTTCAGCGAAGACTTCATCCGTAGGGACTTGCAAATATTCTCACGTGTATTTTAATGAGGTATTTTTGCGCTCTTTGTGTAACGTCTTCAGTTTTTCACATATAGAACTTGGTTTCAATTGCTGAGTATTAAGCGCCAATAGTTAATTACCGTAAATCCTAAATGTTGTCCCACCGGTTCTTGTAGGAGCTACAATAGTAATTCTGTAGGACAATTCAACTAGAATTAATATACTTTTTCCAACCAATTTTTTTAAACTTCTGGACTCTTGAACCAAATGAAATCAACCTACACTTTAAGCAAACGGGTTTTCCCCTTATTTCTAGAACTATAGGCCTCACTTTCATACTACTTAGGGGCTTATAGCACTGTTAGATTGGACCTTTCATTAGTTTCAGAAAAAAACAATACACAAGGATATCTAAGTGTTCAATACCCTCTAGCTAAAGCCCAGGTAAGACGTATTCATTAACAGAGAAAGAAATATTAATGAAACTACTTTTCTTTAATTCAATTTAGATTATCCTAATAATCGGAAACTTGTGATTAATTATATCAGTGATTGATTTGCCTGTGGATGCTTATGATTACATGGGCACAATAAATCTCTCTTGGAATCGATAATTTCAATACTAGCAGTATTATTAACAAATGAATGGGACTTGAACTGGGTAAATAATCAACTTCTGAACCAAACGTGAGGTATAGCTGCATGCAGTAAAGAGTGACAATAAGTCCATTCACGTCTTGAAACCAACTGAACTCGGACCAGAATCATTTTATGTTTCAGTAATTAACATTTTGGAACTCTAACATACTTTGTGAGTATGTCCAGTTTTTCCACAGGCGTAATAAAATTGACGTGAACTACGATGATGTTGTTTACCACATGAGAAGTGGGATTTAATACTGGAAAACGGGTATGAAGATTTCGAATTATTCATTTATTTCAATGGGCATAAATTTTTTTTCTGAAGTACGCTTAAGTGTCTACGGCGTGATAGTGCAACAGGTTGAATTGCAATAATATCATCACGATCATTATTAACGCCCCTATAAGTAATACAGAAATCATTAGGAATTTGTGAGGAACCCAAAGAAATTTACGTAATTACTACATAGGGGGTTTGTGGAGATTATAGAGTTTTGTTGTTAACATCGTGGATCGATTTAGTTAATGGTTATTTAACTAAGGTCACTCCGTGATGGTACTCATGTTTGGAATCGTTTATATCAGTAATCTCTCGCGTTCGAAGTTGAAATTGTAACTCTTCACCAGACTACATTTAGAAGATTGAATCTGAAGCTGTAGAGTAAAAAGATGTGATTATCTGATGAAGACACGAAGTAATTTGTTGAGATATGCCCTTGCAAGTACTTTTAAGGATCTGACGTGAAAATAATCGGTTAGTAATGGTTTTAAAGAAGAGGAATAGGTTCATTGGGAAATGTAAGCTTCCTTAACAAACTATCAGTTAATTTACAAACGTAATTTATTAAACGATCTAAAAGTTCTGTAGTATTTGTACGAACTAATGATTAATTTGTACTTAATCGTGCGCTTATTACGAGTTCCAAATATAATACGTTCATTTGTGATCATCTAGTTCTACCTGCCTTGAATTGCATTATTTCGGTAATTCCCTAGTTAGTGTATTAATTTGAATACTTTTTATCAACATAAGTTTATTATTTTAAAGATTTTGTAATAAGGACTAGGCATCAAAGATTCATTTTTAGTCTGAAGCTTCCAGCCGTCATCAGTTAATAAACAGATTCTCAAGATTGCTAGAATCCAATGATTACAATGACACCAAATATGCTGTTTAATTTATTATTTATTTATTTATTTATTTGAACACAAATATTGGTACAAGGAGGCACTAGATACATGTGCGTCACACAATAGTAATCAGAAT